ATCTAGCTGCAGCATCACCATCACCGTGGATAGTGCAACCTTAAAGCTCTCCTCTCCTTCATCTGTGTAGCTTTGCTCTAGTGAATTTTAAGTCGTTAGGCAAAACTCAAAAACCCAGGTTTTTCTTGCTAGAAATATGTAGCACTTGCTGTCATCCCCATAGCTTTCTATTGTCCACTCCTGTTCTATCCTGGTGGCCTTTCTTGATATCATATACACACCCTACCAATCTAGTTAGAAATCGTCTGGATGTCTTATCCAGACACAGTCAGTTTGTGTGAATATTTGCAGGGACCCGTCACCACCTTCCCCATGTCACCTCCACACAGCCCACGTGCTGCAAGGAAACTTAATTTTTCGGAGACATATCTGACCATGAAGGTAGTCAAAAAAAGCAGCTTACTCGTGAGCACACTGTGTGAGTCTTTTGCCTTCTCTGTGGTAGCCATTTGAAGCCTGCTGCAGAGGAAGATGAGGAGGATGAGCAAGCCAGCTGGTCCCTACAGGCAGGTGGACAGGGAGAGTGAATCCAGCAGCATTGTGAAAATCAAGGTCTGAGTAGTGCCTGCAGCCATCTTAGAATTTAGAGGAAGCAAAAGCCGTTAGCCTTTGCTTTGTCTTAGGTAACAGGCAGCTTGGTCCAGTTCATGAAAAAATAGCAATGAGAAGTGGTTCCATTATTTTTTTTTATCACAAAAGAGAAATGTCTATAATTTTAGTTTGGGACAAATTGATATCCCTCCCCTTTCTCCCATTTTAAAAATCTTACAGTCACCAAAATTGAGAGGAGATAGTCGATTCTCTCTTTCTCTCATCTACATAGATGATTTAGCTGGTCTGTGCTGGCATTCCCCACTCCTGTTTTATCAGTGCAGAAAAAAAAAGCTAGGCAGGCAGCAGAGGAGAAGGATGAAGGCAGTTCCCTGTGTGGTTTGGTCTAGCTCTATTTGCAAACATCTCAGCCGAAAGGGAGGATGCAGATATCACCCCCAGATGCTACTCCTGGTCCATCTTCCTCATTTTCCCTTTGGGGCACAGACCAAGCAGAGCCCAGATCTCTACAGTACAGCTTTGATCCCTTATTTTTATTTAACAGACACAGCGGTTTGAACATACCAAGTTTTGAGTAGAAAACTGAATAGGTCAAGAGCTGATGACTTAAGATTTCTTAGTCGCTCTGTGAGGCAGAGACCTCAGGATCTAATAAGGAGACTTTGCAAATCGGTGTCTTGTTGCCGAAAGCAAGCAAGTGGTAGCAGGTGGCTTTCACAGAGCTGGCAGGGACCTGGACTAAGGCTGAGCAAGGCTCCAGCAGATATAAATCTCTGATTTCGTTTGTCTCTGAGGTTTCTAGGCTGCTTCCAGCTACCTAGCTTGCTTACTTTTTCCTTTCTTCCTTCTGTTTATCCCCCCCCCCACCACCAGGTAAACTTTATTTTTCTCATTTCAGATTATTCTTGTCTCTTGTTTTTCTTGCCATGGCCTCTTTTTTTTTTTTTTTTTAAATCCATTTTAAAAATGAAATATGTGTTGAAGTCCCACCACCACCACTTCACTCTTTGCCATCTGTCCCTCTCACCCAATCTAGTGGGTATGATATTTTACAAAGGGTTTGCACTGCTGGCCCACCTACCCGTTTCTATTTTTAAGATCATCAGATGACGGCTGATTCCTCACCCCAAGGTACTGGCCTTCTCTAGAGGTGAAAGGATACTTTACCAGTCTTTATTTCTTAGTGTTAGGTCACTGCAACCTAGTGATGAGATAGGTCTAATTAGTCTGTTGCAATTCACCATTGGATGTCTAGCTTTGTGTCATCCCCTTTAACAATACCAATTTTGGTGACATGTTTCCCAGAATCCTGGGCTTGCTTCAGTCACTGAGCATCAGGGAAGCTGCTTTCTCAAAACCTTCCTCAACAGGGCACTGCCCTCTCTGCTTTCTGGTTCTGTGATCAGGGAAGCCCTGCTCTATTCTCCCTCAAGGCTGACACTATTGTTGAAATGTTGAAGACTAGGAACACATGGTCTGCTGTGCCTTTTGCTAGAGGCTCTTTCTTGGCTGGCTGTCATGTTGGCATCAGTTAATTGAGGGGAAAATCTGAGTTAGGTCCTGCAATTTCAGGCAAGCTGGGCATGTGATGGGTACACCTGTCACTTAAGCCAGTGTCCACATTCAGCCCCAAAGGTCACAGATGTAGCATTCTTTCAGCATTAGCTAGCAATTTACTGTTCCCTAGGAAAAATAAACCATTCCATATTAGTATTGTTCACTTATTAACCCTCAGGGGATTCCTTGCCATTTGTTTGGCTAGTAGGGACAATATTTCCTTTTTAATTCCATCTTCTATAAGCCTTTTTTTTTTTTTAATAGAGTCTAACTCTAGAGCTCAGGCTGGCCTTTCACTCATAGCAATCCCTCTGCCTCCTGTGCCAGCTTCCAGAGTGCTGGGATTTCAGGGGTGAGCTGTTACACCTCTTATACAGTGGAGAGTAGGGGCTACAGTATAGCAGTCTCTCACCCCTTTGTAGCTGCAGCTGTAGGCTTCCAGAAGGAGAAGTTAACACTTTTCTTCTCTTTTCCCTTGTACTTTCACCTGCAGAACAGACACTTCTTTCCACAGTTGGGGGCTTCCATTTCCTTCTCTCCACGGAACTTTAAAACCATCCTATCACCCTCAGAAAACTTTAATTTACCTTATCGTTTTTATGTATATGTTCTCCAAAAGCAACACACATTTTTTGATGATGTACCCCCAATAGCTGGATCTTTCAACCTGGGTTTTAGCAAATGCATTGGCAGTCTACAATTAATACAAGTAGCATAAATCATCTGGAGGCCCATTCTCTGCCTTTTGAAAGAAATTGGCTATATTTAGTTTTTAAAACCAGTCGGCTTTGCATTCTTTGAAAAGTCAGCAACATTCTTTCAATTTCGGGGTGTAATTAGCATAAAAGGAGTAATCTGAGAAGGTGGTAGAGACTAAAGCCAGGGACAGACAGGAATGTTGGAGACAGTGAGCCCAGGCAACTTCCCCAGTACTGAGTGGCACGCAGAGACCCCTGGTTGTGACTATGGGTACTGAGGTCTACAGCTCATAAAACACTCGCTTTCATCCAATCCCTGGGCTGGTTATAAATGCACTTCCAGAGCTGGGCAGAGACCTCAGAGAGCCACAGTGCATCCGGGCTCTGCTGAGGTGGAGGGCACTGCCACATCTCCCAGAAAGCACTGTGCCTGCACAGCCCCTTCCATGCCACCTTCCTCACTGGAGGGGCTATGTACTCTATGCCCTGGAGGAAATAGGTAGTTTGCATTAGAGTGAGAGTCTATTCTAAGTTAAAGGTACACTATGAGAAGGAACTGGCGGTGAATGTCAGATAGGGAAATTTCAAAGACCTGGGGAGTCAGTCCATTTTTTTTCAGCAGCTGACTTAGAACTTCTGAGCTGACATGCTAGTATTGTGTTTAATACAGAGTGCACGTTTGTAGTTACTTTGCAGTTGAAATACTAACCAGTGGATATGACAAGAAAAAATTGCCATAGTGGTCATGACACTAGTTTAAAAACCTCCTGGTCCTAAGTGTCAAAACCTTCTAGTGGAGACTAATCAGGACTAGAAAATACTTCTTACAGCACCTGCTTCCTCTCCAAAATGGCCAAGGCTTCAAGTAACGTTTATCTACAACAACAGTTCCAGTCATCTGGCTAATAAAATGTAGAATATGCTTTGAAGACAGAGTGCATCACTAAGCACTATTATTAAAGCCTTACAGCTAAACTTTCTGTTTCAGTGGAAGCCTATTTATTGTTTCCTGGGCTATTAAAATAATATTATAATTGTATTTTCTCTAGACTCTCAGAAAATAGCTCACAATGACCCCAACTAATGAAAGGCCCAGGAGAACACTCTTGGCCAAAAACTCAGTTGCATCATTAAGTAATAATAACATTTAGAAGGTTCTAAGCTATGGCAGTGTGGTCACTTCTAAAAGCAGATGCAGCATTCTTGCTCAGCAAGAAGATATGACAGGGCCGAGGAGCATACACTCCCATCTAGAAAGACAGAGCTCGCAAGGCCACAGAATTAAACCCCAAGTTCATCCATTATGAAGGGGAGAGAGTAGAAAAGAGTTGTCAAACCATCTGTGAGGTGTGTGGTCAAGCCGTGTGTTAGGGACCTGGTGTTTCAGGTCAGGGTGTGTTATTAGCTCACCTTGCTGGCTTTGGCAAGAAGTGGATCACCTGAGCCAGGGAGGAGCCTATATCTTCTCTGCCTGGGTATGGTGCGGTCTCACCCAGGAGCTTTTAGCTTCTATAATGTCCATGTGTCCCTGAATCTGATAACGTGTCAGAGCCTAAAACCTGCAGGGCAATCTATTAAAATCAATTGCTAAGTCCCAAGTTCTACATCGTGAGGTCCCACTCTGGGAGACTTAAAAAACAAAACCAACACATAGCTGTGAGGGCTTAGGGAGGTCGATGCTAGGCCAAAACCAAAGATGGTGTCAGCTCACCATACCAATTAAATAAAGTCTCTCCTTTCACTTTGTGTCAAGTGAAAACAGAAAACCGAACAGACCACAAACCAGCTTGTGTTTCAGAGCTCTTGGTGTCCAGTGCTTACCTGTAAACCCTTGGTTCCACCTGCTGCCATTTATCTACACAGTAAATGCTTTATTTATGGATCCCTGGCTAGTCATAATAAAATATAGGCAAAAGTTAACAGTTAAAATTTTTTTTTCTTATTCAAGAATGGCTAAGTTAGGAGTTGAACGGAGGAAGCCCTGACCTTGTATTACACGTTTCTAGACAATGGTCCCAATTGTGCCTTGCCTACAACATGTGTCACTGTGTGCCATCAGACAGTTCACTCTTTTTAAAGATTGGGTGTGATATTTATCTAATAGGAGAAGGCCCGGCAACTTCATTATCCTCACAGTATGATGGCAGTTACTGTATAAGCATGGGGTTGTGTTGGCTACTCTTTACCTCTTACCTTTTAAATACAATGTGTCTGTGCCTCTGCACACTGGAAGCAGGAAGGAAGAGCCTTTTGCACAACTGGAGCGGAACAGAAATTTCTGGCCAGGTCCTCTCTCTTCTAAGTCTTTAGTTTCACAAATGACAGATGAATCAAATTCAATCAAGAAGTTTTTGTTGAAGAGGTAAAAGGTAGTCCCTGTCTTCATGCTGCCACTTACAGGACTGCTTGTGAACTCAGAGTTTCCCTGGAGCACAAGGGCAGCAGTTAAATCTTTTTCATACCTGGCACAGTAGTTCCTTTGAGTTTCTTGTACTTTTTATTTTTTATTTTTTGAAGTGTACGTTTGTGTGGATGAGAGGCCTTAATCAGCTGTGGATAAGAAATAACTTTTGAGGAGATAAAGTCGGAGACTGGGCAGCAAGGCAGCAAGTGAGGGCCTATTTGTTAGGTTTAGCTTCCTGTTCGTAATTCCAAGAGATCCTTGGTTGCTTTGAGTCGCTTTCTGTTGTTCTTTCAAATCCGTTAAGGGAAAAAAAATAATAAAAACGGAGCACAGAATGGAAGTAGAGTTGTACCAGCAGGGACCAAGAAAAACAGCGTGTTGCAGCTTTCCGTCACACCCTTTCTGAGTTTGAGTTGGGCAAACCTTCAGGAAGAAGGACCTGAAAATTCTGTTGAGTGGTCCACAGTGTTCCCCCATTTTCAAAGATAGGGCTGCCCACAATAATTTATTCGAGGCCACTGAAGTATTAAACACCCCTTGCCCTTTGAGGACCCTGGGGTGTGTTGCATTCTTAGTAGAGTTTCTGTTTCCTTCTCCCCAGCGTCCCAAGTTTTGCGAGCTGTGTTCAAAAGTGAAAGGAAAGAACGTTGGAAGAGAGTTTTGTGATCACCCGGCAGTTCTGGGTTTATTGGCACCTTGTCCCATCGGGGAAGGTGCCATGTCTTAGCCTGACCGTTGGCTCTGTCCACTCACCTGGGCACAAGGTGGTTGTGGGCCAGTTATTGAATGAATGAATTCATTGCATCCAAGTAGACCCCAGTGGCAGACCCCCCGCACCCGAGGAAGGTGGCTCAAAACTGCCCTTTCACTTAGCCGGTGCTGCCTACCATGTCAAAGCCTGGGGGCCAGGGAGTGGGGCGGGACACTTGTGAGTTTTGAAACGATTCTCCAAAAAGTTCATGTTCAGTAAAGTATTTTTTTTTCCCTTTATTCTAGAGCCCCACATGGCTACCGCCTCTCCCACCTAGGAGGACTCCGCGTGCTCCATCTCCATCCAACACCGCCATGGCTCTTCTCCTCGGCTGTGGCCTCGCCTGATTAGTGCCGACTGCGTCTTCTATTCATGCTAGCTGTGTAAATGCTTGTGAGGAGATCCGAACCCCGTGTGGGGCATCGCGACTAATTAGCTCGTCGCCATCTACCTCCACGGGCACGCGCCACAGGGTGGGAGGGGTGGGCCGCCGTCGCCGCGTGCGCTATCTGGGAAGCTGAGGTAAGGAGGCGCATAGCATGGGTAAGCGTCGTCGTCCTCGTCGCATACTTTTCACGCTGCCCAGGGCTACACCACTGTACTGAAAATCGGGAGGCATATCTGGGAGGCGGGGTCGGGTGCCCACCGTCTTGGGGGCACCCGTGCCCTCCACCAGATTGCTCTCCACGCCCCCTACCCACACCAAAGGTACCGTCGCACCCGCCCTTGACCCCCGCCTGCGGCGCAGTCCATTTGGACGCGTCCCCGGTGGGCCGATTTTTCGCGCTTCCCCTTCGGTTTATAGGGGCGATTGCTTATGGGTTCGTCCTCTGAAGTGGCTGGGGCGTCATCAGGCTGGTTAGAAAAACCCGCTCCACAGCGGGGACAGTCAGTCGCGTCGGCACCGCGGAGCGGGCTGTGTCAAGTGGCTGGCCCAGCGGCGCTCGCCGGCTCCCTGCTCTCGGGCTTGGAGCTGCAGCACCGGCTGGAGCGAACCCTTGTCCCAGCTCGGGGCGGCGGCGGGCAGAGAGGCAGGCACTGCCTTGCGTGTGAGTGCATCTCACTCACATGTAAGTCGGGGAGCGCGGGGGCTTCCCGCCCAAGTGCGAGGTGCCTGGCACGGGCAAGAGCCACCGGGCAAGAGCCGGGACAGGGCAGGGGCGTCTGGCGCCGCTGTCCTGCCTCGCGCCTCCCGGGCATCCTCCAATTCTCTCTCTTCTCTCTTTTCTCCTCTCCATTGGCGTCCCCAAGAGCTAACCCAAGGAGCGCCTAAGGGTAACAGCAAACTGTTGTCATTTGCACCTTTCCACTTTTCTTTTTCTCGTGTTGTTTTTATTTTCTTTATTTTTTTTTCCCTTTGTGTGTTGTTGGGCATTTCTTGGTGCTTTTTGTTTTCTCCCTGTTGTTGGGTGCTTTTTGGTGTGTTCTCGCCCCCTTTTTCGTTTGCTCATCCTATTTGACGCTAACTCTTAGGCAGCCAGCTCAGCAGCCCCCTACGGTCGAAGCCCGGGGAAGCCGGACTCGGTGGCCCCAGGACAGCACAGCGGAGACTGCAACGGAGCCCCACGACACGGGGCGCACAGGAGCCGCGAAGCCCGAGGCCGGGGCAAAGCAGACCGCCCGGGCCAGGCGCGAGCCCAGCTCCCCGAGGTGGTCCGGTCACCATGCTGAAGATGGCCATGAAGCTGAGAGCCCGAGCGGCCCAGAGAGAGAGGAAGACAGCCGCGGCTGCCGCCGAAGTGGCTGCCGAAGCTGCCGTGGCGGCTGCGGCGCTGGCAGAGCCGCTCGCTTCGCAGAAGAACAAGGTCCCCGAGAAGCCCCCCAAGTCCGTCAAGATCCGCGTGAACGCCGTGCGCGATGTGCCGCCCGAAAAGTTGCTAACCGACAAAGAGCGAAAGAAGCTAGAGAAGAAGTTGCTAGAGCAGAAGAAAAAAGAGGAGAAGAAGAGAGAGAAGGAGAGGAAGAAGATCGAGAAGAAACTGAAGAAGAAGAAGAAGAATGTGCCA